CTGTTCATATCCTGTGCCCATTTTTCTATTGGATTATTTACCTTTATCTTGTTGTAGTGCTCAAGTATTTTATAAATTCTGGATATAAGTCCCTTATCTGATATGTCATTACCAAATACTTTTTCCCAGTCTGTGGCTTCCCTTTTTACCCTGCTGAAGTTTTTGGATGTGCATAGGGATTTGATTCTTAGAAGATCCCATTCATCTATTTTATCTTCTCCTGGTTATAGATATATACTGTTTTTTAAAATATATTTTTATTTTTATCAAATAGCATATAGAAGATAATGTTAAATAAAAAAATTCAAGTCTTACACTGTTGGCTTTTATGTCTATGTGATTCTTTTAATTCAGAAAACCAGATTTTAGTTACTCTGTTAAAACTCTGGGTTCAATAAATTATTGCTTTTAAAGACCTAGTATTCTGTAGAGTCCACCATTCACATGACTCTGGATATCTATGTGTATTGAGTGTGAGGGAAACCAAAATTCATTGTCCTAGGACAGAGTAGAATTGCCCATAGGGTTTCCAAGACTGTGAACTTTTTTGGAAGCAGACTGCTAACATCTCATCTTTTTCCTGTGGAGCCGCTGGTGGGTTCGAACCATTAACCTTTTCATTAACAGCTGAGGACTTTAACTCCTGTTCCCTCAGGATTCCTTGTTTTTATATATTACACACAGTTCCTCTTAACCTAAATGTATTCACTGGGTTTAGAAATAGAAATCTGCCCTCATTTCCTCCCCTCTTCCCTGCCATTTTCTTTCTGCTGTCCATCAGTTGGGCCCCCTGTATTTCAAATTTGTTTTCTTTTGTCTCTGTATTCGTTATCTCTGACAGCCATTTTTAATCATTTGTTTTCTTTTTAGCCCTGTCAGTTACTTTTGTGTGTTTTTAATCCAGGTGTACCTAAAATTTTTCACATCTGCAGAAGGTTGATTTAAAATTAAATGCAACAGTTTTTAATACAATATACTGAATATCTTTTCAGCTAAACCTGGGAACAGTTGGGTTTTATCGGACTCAGTACAGTTCCACCATGCTGGAAAGTTTATTACCAGGCATACGTGACCTTTCTCTGCCCCCAGTGGATCGACTTGGTTTACAGAATGACCTCTTCTCCTTGGTGAGCATCCCTTATTGATGTAGTATAATGGACATTGTTGGTTAAAGGATTTTGGTGGTTTTTTTTTTCCCTTGGAGTTGTCTCACTGAGTGTAATTAGAATGGTTTCCCCTGAAGATTAAATAAGACATTGGGCTTAGAGCAAACAACTAATTATTAGTTAACATGACATTGCTTGATCTATGTAGTTGAGCGCTGGTGGCATAGTCAGTAGGAAGTTATAATCCAAAGGCAGCACTCTCTGACACTTTGTATCCACCAGCTGTTCAGCAGGAGAAAGATGGGCAGTCTCCTCCCATGAGATTTACAGCCTCTGAAAACAGTTGGAGAGTCAGCTTTGAGTTCATTCTGACTCTGGCAGAGAATTTGAGTTGTTTTTTTAAATATTTTGCACTTACTAGAAGCAAAGCCCACTTAATCACTTTTAAGCAATTTTTTTTTTCCATTTACTATCTGCACTTAAATGATCTTTTATGGGCAAAAGTTTCTTTTGAATGATAATAGTATAAATCTTAGCAGAAATTTTTTAACAATAATTATTTCAAAATTATTTTTGTTTTTTCTAAGCTACTTCATTTTATTTGGCTTTGTTCAGAAAGGATTTGAACCGATTATTAGCATTTTTACCAATGACTCCAACATGGCTTAATGGCTTCTTGGTGTTTTAAACTTTGATAAAATTGTCAGATTCCTCCTAGTTTTTCTTTAATATAGACCTAAAAAAAAATAGACCTCAAGTTTCCCCTCTTCTCTGTAGTAATTAGTTTTGGATTCTTCTTTTTTAAACACTTATTAGCACTGATGCACAGAACTTTACATCTGCTTCACCTCATTGCTGAGACAGATCTGTTTCACAAGAGTGAGATGTCTGTACAATTGGCTGCATTATTAGAAATCTTTTTCCTAACTTTCACTGGTTCTGAAAGGACTCTGAATTTAGGCCTTTCACTTAACAGTCTTTAAGAAATTAATTTGACATAATTTGCTAGTCCAATTTTGGTGGTGGCGGGGGGACACTTCTGTCAAGATGCATAACCCTGGCAAACAAAAACACAGCCTCAACTAATTTTACAACTGTTTTGAATGAAAGAAAATGTCAAAAGAAAGCTTGACCCCAGAAATGGAATAGAGATAGGAAGTTAATAGATTTTATTTTCTTTTCCATTCTTACCAAATTGGTTGAATTCCAGTATAATTTTTTTTTATAAATACCAACAAAGTAAATGAGGATTCTTGTCATAGTAGGATTTTTATTCTTACAGTGCTCTTTTGTGTTTGTATAACCTTCTTTTCTTTTAACACAAAGAGATAATTGGCTAGTAGTGAATAATGCTGAAAATACATGCTTGTGTGTTTTTATTTGAAGACTAGATTGATTTGTGTTTTTTCCTGTCCCAGGCTCGAGCTGGAATCATTAGCACTGTAGAGGTTCTAAAAGTCATGGAGGCTTTTGTGAATGAGCCCAATTATACTGTATGGAGCGACCTGAGCTGTAACCTGGGGATTCTCTCAACTCTCTTGTCCCACACAGACTTCTATGAGGAAATCCAGGAGTTTGTGAAAGATGTCTTTTCACCTATAGGGGAGAGACTAGGCTGGGACCCCAAACCTGGAGAAGGTAATGGCTGTACTGAATGATTAAAAAATTGGTCAGAAATTGGCACTTTCCCCCCATCTTTTAAGCATACTGGGTCCACCAGCATTAAAATAGTAATGGTTATATGTATTTGTATTTGCTAAAACTGATTTGTACACAAATCAAATGGTAGTAGTGAGTTTAAGTGTGCCACAACATTATAGAAAAGTTACTGTGAAAATTACCAAAATGTGACAAAGTGAGCACAGACTGTTGGGAAAAGGTACCAGTAGTCCTGTTCAAGACAAGGTTGACATAAACCTTCAAACTGTAAAAACCATGATATTTACAAGTTAGAGTAAAATGAGAAAATATGCCTCTGTTGTCACCATAAATGCAGTAACCTGTAAAGGTGCTAAAAGGTCCAGTTTTCTGAATTAAGGAAGTTGTTTTCTACATATATTTTCTCATATCTTACTATTACTTATAATCACATATTTACTCTTCTACTTAAATCTTAAGACTGGCTTTAAATTCTTTTTTACTGTTACTATTAAAAAATGATGCTGTTTCTCCTGATTAAAATTGATCTGGGAGCACACCCATGTTTTTTGCTACATTATTCACAGTATCAAAGAGATGGAAGCAACAGAAGTGCCCATCAACAAATGAATGGATAGAAAAACTATGCTACATTCATACTATGAAATATTATGCAGCATTGAAAAACAGTGAACTCATAAAACATTACACAGCTTGGGGGAGCCTGGAGCACATTTTGAGTGAAATATCTTAGTCACAAAAGGACAAATACTGCTTAACATTGCTGTTATAAAATTGGACAGAAAATGGGGAATTAGAGAATGGGAAAAGAGTGACTAGATAATGAACACTGCAATAGAAGAGATGAGGGGAAGAACTGTTAGAGGAATATGTGATTAGGCATTATATGTATGACGACAGTCTGGAACAAGGGTTGCCTTGCGGGAAGGAGGGAGGAAAATATTCAATAATGAAAAAAATTATTTTAAAAAATTGATGTGGCAATCTTTTGCAAAGAATTATATACATATGTACAGGTACCAGGGATTAGTTAGTATCCTGGAAGAAGTGAGGGGGTGAGTTGGGAGGGTAAGGTGATGAGGAGTATATGTGGTGTGTCATGATTTTATAGAGAGTGGTTAGATAAACCAACATTTAATGAGGTGGCATTTGAACTTAAGTAGATCTGAAGGAAACAGGAAGATAGCTATGGACAGAGGGGCCTGAGGCCAAAAGCATGGATGGTATGTTCAGGGACAAGCAAGAAGGCCTGTTCAGCCAGGACAGAGTGAAAGGGAGGGAGAAGTTTCTGACTTTTAACATTTAGTGGTAGGAAAAGCTAATTTGAGAGTTTTGAGCAGAGAAACATAATCTGTTTTTACTTGATTGTGTGAAGAACAGATTGAAGTGAGGCAAGAGAGGAAGCAAGGATACCACTAATCGAACTTAGATACTAGTTGCCAAGGAACTAGTGATAGAAGTGCTGTGTATATTTTTCAGAGTAAAAAGCATAGTAGATTAACTCTTGATAGAAAGAAGAGACGAATCATCAGATTTTACCTTGAAGAACTGAAAGAATGAAGTTGCCAGAGACTGTGTACAGAGATTGTGAAAACTGCCATAGGAGTAGGCTGGCGTGAGAGGACTATCAGGAATTCCATTCTGGACACATTAAATTTGAGGTCCATCTGGGAGAATGTCATGTGTAGGTGTCTAGACTTGAGTTAGTTATCATTGCGTAGATCGTATTTACAGCCATGAGAGCTCCTAGGGACTGAGTGTCAATGAAAAAAAGGGATCCGAGGGCATTGCAGGATTTAGAGGTTGGTTAGATGCTGAATTAGCAAAGGAAAGTGAAGATGATTAACCCATGAGGCAGGAAGAAAGAGGAGTGTCCCAGGATTCTTAAAGTCATTTAAAGAGAAGTAGAGTGACCAACTAGGGTCAAATACTGCTCCACAGCAGGCAAAATTTAGTCTTCAGCAAATTTTTTCAAATGGTAGAGACTAAATGTTTATAGTGGGTCCTCTAGAATGAGAAAAAATAAAGCATATTTAGACTTTAATTAAGTCATCAATTGTAATTAATGTTCTAAAACAAAATTTATATAAATGATTGAATGAGAAAGACAATTTGACTTGTAAACTTTCATTCCGTTTTTTTAAAAAGGAGTTTTGCTACCAAAAAAGACAAGAGAAAAGGGAGGTGTAGACTTGAGAAAGATCAGGGAGAGTTGTGGCGGTTTTGGGATTGATTGTTGGTAGAGATTTATTTTCATAAATAGGTAAAACAGAAACTTGCTCTTTTATATCTTTTTTTTTCTCCTGTACACTTCAGTGACATTAATTATATTTATAATTGTTGTGTAACTTATCACCTGTTTTTTTTCCAAAAATTTTTTCACCCTAAACAAACTGTACCCCTTAAGCAATAACTTCTCCTCTCCTTCCCCAGCCCCTGGCAACCGCTAATCTTTGTGTCTCTAGATAGTTGCCTGTTCTAGATAGTTCATGTAAGTGAATCATATATTTGTCCTTTTGTGTCTGACTTACTTAGCAAAATGCTTTTGCTAGTAGGATGTCTCAGAACTTCCATTTCTTATAGCTTAATCACATTCCATTATTTGTATATATCGTTTTATGTCTGTTTATCCATTCGTCTACTGATGAAAACGTCTTTTGTTTCTACGTGCTTTATTCTATAAGTGTCTGCTTTCCGTTCTTTCAAACTCCGGGAGTAGAATTGCTAGGTCACAGAGTAGTTCTGTATTCAGTTTTTTGAAGAACTGCCATGCTGTTTCCATAGCAACTCTACCATTTACAATTCTGCCAGCAATGACTGAGAGTTCCTCTTCTCTCCATCCTTACCAACACTTGTTATTTTCCATTTTTTGTTATAACAGTCATCTTAGTGAGGATAGTATCTCATTGTGGTTTTGATGGTCATTTCTGTATTGACTAATGATGTGAAAAATCTTTTAAACTTTGGGTTTAAAACTTGCATGAAATAAGCCTGTCTCTGTCACACATAATCCTTAGCTGTATAATTAACTGGACTGAGTGAACACTTTGCAAATTCAGATAGTTGACGTTTATGGCCGTAGAAAAAGTCAGCAAATTTATTTACTTGCTAATCTGTTTGACAATCCATTTCACTCTTAGGATTTTAAAATTTTAAATCAAGTATTCTTTTAAGTATCTAGGCAGGTGATTGTTTTGGTTCAAAAAATGTAAACGTGAAACAATTAAATCAAGGCTACATATTTGTAAAGGTAGACTCCCTCTACCTTTTTCTTTTTCCCCCAATAAGTATAATTATGTCTATTTTTACTTCCCAATCAGGTCATCTCGATGCACTCCTGAGGGGCTTGGTTCTGGGCAAACTTGGAAAAGCAGGACATAAAGCAACATTAGAAGAAGCCCGCCGTCGGTTTAAGGACCATGTGGAAGGGAAACAGATCCTTTCTGCTGACCTGAGGAGTCCTGTAGGTTTCCATAATGAATGATCTTGATTTCTGGTGACTGTATCATTCTGTGTAGGGTAGAACTTCTTAATAATAACCAACAATGATCTAAGTACCAACCCACAAACCACATCTGACTATTTAATTGTGCCTTTTAGAGAAACGGTAGCCAGTCCATTTGTTTAAAGTTTCTCAGTCAGCAGCTATAGTGCTGGAAGTTGATTATCAGTGCACATTCCTCTGTGAAAGCCGGTGTACACTGCTGTCACAGCATACCATCTACATTTGTGGTTGTTGATAGGCACTCTTAAAACTACTATCTTTTCTGAGTATTTCAAACAAGATACATTTACTCAAATGTCTTCTTTTGGTTCTCATTTTCTCTTACAGGTCTATCTGACTGTTTTGAAGCATGGTGATAGTACTACCCTAGACATTATGCTTAAGGTGAGCATGTTTGGAAAGGGCTTCCACTTCCTGCTTTTGAGCTTAAATTGACACAAAAAATAGGAGCTTTAAGTGGTTAAAATGTAGCAAAAATCTGGCAAAAGAAATACAGCACTCATATATGCAAATATGAAGAAACGAGTATGAAGAGACAAAATATGCATGATCTGTTCCTATTATTCTTCACTGCCTTTCTTCAATTCACAAGTTTGTGCATTAACTCTGAAATGTTCTTTTAGTTAAAAACATCAAGTTCTTAAAATGTTCATCTTCAATATAAATATGCTTGATGTTATGCCCATTTAGTATCTTTAAATGACCTGTTTGTTTCTGTGCTTAAGAAATGTTAAATATTATGAGTCTCCTAGTTTAAGCTATGCCAGCACACCTGGCGAATGGACATGAAATTAATTCATCTGCCTGCATAGCCTCTGTAGTTTTCCAGGGGTAACTGGTATATAAATAAATTCCAACTTTGATATAATATAGATAAAACTTTCCGTGTCCTTATGTGTGACGTGTAAAAGCATGATCTGTTTGAAAGCTCTAGTCAACTGTAGACAAGTACTTTCTCTAGTTCCTAATCTGTGTACTTATTTATCAGTCTGACCAACTGGAGGGTCAGCTATGAGTAGGTTCCACCTTGACAACACACAACAGCAAGGACTTGATTAGTTGTATTAGAGGTGAGGGAGCTGAATCTGTTACTTCATCCTCAGATGTGCAGAAATATACCTACAATACCAAAGCAGTCCATCAGATCTTTAAAAAATCTTATTCTTTAAAATGAAAAATGCACAGTTAAGGGGGGAGGGACAGGACAAAAGTGGAGTGTGAACCTAAAAGCTTCCACTTTAATACTGAGAATACTTTTCTGTTTCCATGTAGAGCAGTGATTACTGTACTCTAGGGACTACAGATCTAATTTCTGGTATTTTAAATAATTCCTACTAAAAATTACTAGGATGTTTTTTCAAAAGATAAACTTCATTTAAGAGACTAACTACCTTGAATTTTCTTTCTAGTAATATGAAAATTATACTTTGGGTGTATCTTTCAACTAAATAACACTAAGATTCCATATTATCTGCACTTGTGTGCTCTATCAATGATTTATTTTCTGAAACTTGCGATAGTTTATATTTTCTTAAATTAATTTCATAAAGATGGAGGAAAATAGGCGTTCCGACAGTTTTTTGATAGATACCTTGATACTGTCATATCAAGAATTTACACAACTGGATATATTTAAACAGACTCACTGCCATTGAGTTAATTCCAGTGAAGTAACTCCTTGTCTGAGGCTTTGAATCATTATGAGAGGAGGGAGACCGCCCATCTTTCTCCCATAACTGAACTGTTCAGTATACTCAAACTTTAACATTGGAAAGAGCTCTGATGAGGGCAGAACCAAGGGTATTGAAACTACTTGGTAAGAGATGAAGATTTTTGTTGTTGTTGATGATTTGTGAATAATGAAGCATGTTAAAAAAATGTTGACTTAGGTCAAAAGAGCATCTGAAGGTTTACCCCCTCTGTGATCCATAGGCGGCAGTATGAGGAGGACCCAGGGAAGAATATGTGCTTTTTGGTGGAAAATAAGCGGCAGTTGCTAATTATGATGGCTGTATACTTTGGGTCTGGATTTGCTGCACCCTTCTAATTTATAGTAAGACATCAACCACTTAAGAAATAAAGATGTTTCAGTTTATCTATGAAACAGATAAGGAACATTTTAAGAAGTTCAGCCTCTGAAGAATGGCTCAAACTGTTGAATACATAGCATTCTGCTTAGTTTATAAATAAATTTACCTATATGAATTCTGGGCTCGGTTGAGGGGGTGATATTTGGAATATGGTGTTATGGTGCCACCTAGTGGACTTTACCAGTTCCCCTTGGAAAATTGCTTTCTCACGTCAGAATTTAGACCTTGAATATTGACACTGAAAGGGACCACAGAAATCATTTGTCCACTCCCCTTATTTTACAGATGGGAAAGTTGAGACCTGGAAAGGTTAAAGACTTAGTCAAGATCACACAGCTAGTTAGAGACAAAACTGGGTCTTGAACCCAGGTCTCCTGACTTACCTATTTGCCCAAAAGAGTCCAAAGGAAAGAAAGGAAACTGGGAGCTGTGATGAGATCTCCAGACACTGGTCAGTGTTCAGTCTTAAGGGAAACAGGTGAAGAAACTAAATGGTCTTGGAGCAGTATCTCTTAATATTTATAGTGATTTTTTTTAAATTTTCTCTATGATCATGAAAAAAATTTTGTTTTTTATGCCTTCCCTGTGGAAGTTTTATTTTTGTAGTTGTTGTGTACCATCAAGTTGGAACTGACTTGTAGCTGACCCTACAACAGATTTTTAGAGTCTTTGTCACATGTGAGATCGCCCATTTTTCTCCTGTGGAGCAGCTGATGGGTTCAAACTGCCTGCCTTAGGGATGGCATACACTTCTTACCACTAAACCACCAGGGCTCCCTGGAACATTTACAAGCTAGAAAAGTATATAGAACAAAATTAAAACTTACCTGTAATGGAAAATACAGATCACCCAAAAAAAGCATATATGATATTATCTAAAACCTGATTTAATTGTATATGTAGAATTTTGGTTTTTATTTATGCTTCTCTGTATAATAGTGCACATTAAGTATTTTAGAAAAAATATGAATATTTGAAAAAGATTGTATAATCCCAATGATCAGAAGTCATCACTAATGTTACTATTTTGGTATATTTTCAGAGAATTTACTTCATTCTAATTTCCAGTCATTTGGCTTTGTCTCACTACTTTTTTTTTTCTTTTCCACTACTTTTTTTATGTATAAAATTTTTAATTGTGATTTTAACAAAAGTTTACAGAAAAGTTGAATTTTCATTCATTGTTTTCTCTTTTTCTTTTTTTTTAAGTCATTCATTGTTGTACACTTTGCTACCTCCCCTCCCGCTCCCCCAGTTCACTTTGCTATATACCTTATATTCTGGACTATTGTCATACAAATAATGCCTAATCATGTCCCTTTAAATGGTTCTTTACCTTTTCCAATGCAGTGTTCATTATTTACCCCCTTTTCCTACTTTTCCCCAAACCCCATGTCAGTCCTGTTTTATAACAATGATGTTATGTAGTATTTGTCCTTTTGTGCCTGAGGTAATTCACTCAGCATGATGTCCTCCAGGGTCACCCATGTTGGGTAATGTTTTACAAATTCCTTGTTTTTAAGTGCCTCGTCAGTATGCCATTGTGTGAATATACCATAGTTTTTCTGTCCTTTCATTTGTTATAGGCACTTGGGTTGCTTCCATCTCTTTACTGTTATGAATTATGCAACAACAAACACAGGTGTGCATATATTTGTTTGGGAGGTTGCCCTGGTTTCTTTAGGGTATATTCCCGGTAGTGGAATTGCTGGTTTAAATGGCATGTCTATTCTCAACTTTGAAAAAATACCAAACCACTTTCATAGTGATTGCACCATTTTGCACTCCCACCAGCAGTGAATAAAGGTTCAAATCTCTCCACATCCTCACCCACATTTGTTGTTTGCTACTCTATTGAACTTTGCTATTGTTACTGGATACTTCCCCTCCCTTAATATATCAAAACCATTTTTACACCATCAAATGTTCTTAAAGCATGGCTTTCATAAAACATAGTTTTAATGCATAGTTTCTTTGTATAAATAAAATTAACTTGTTGGGTATTTAGATTGCTTTCAATTTCTCATTATTATAAAGTGTTAATGATAGTAGTCATGAGTTTGTTTTTCTAGCACAGAGCATTATAATAGGCAGGCATCAGTCTTGTAAAAAAATTTGGCCATGACAGATTGACCTTTCAGATCTCAGTGTTTACTATCTCATTGTTAAAGTGCTCAGAATTTCTTGTCTAGTGAACCCTTATGCCTGATGGCTTCATTTACTCTAATAGCAAATGACTAAAGCTTAAATCATTTAGAAAAGTAATCTGTTTATTTCATACTTTGACAATTTTACATAGTGAGAATGTGGAACAAAAATTTTACTTCTGGAGGGAAAGCCTAATGTAAGCATGTTCAGAACTTCTAACAGAGGGTGTTCCATCTGTATCTTTGTTTTCTTCTTACAGCTTCACAAACAAGCAGATATGCAGGAAGAGAAAAACCGAATTGAAAGAGTCCTTGGGGCTACTCTTTCACCTGAGCTGATTCAAAAAGTCCTCACCTTTGCACTTTCAGTAAGTTACAATGAAAATTTACTTTGGAGAGCTTTATTACTGATTATCTATTAAAAGTGTCTTTGATTCTGTAGCCTCTTGATTTTCCTTAACCCTAGACTGGGGCTTCTATTGACAAAAATTGGCTTGAAACTTTGTTTCTCACCCCCCCCCCTTTTTTTAAAAAATTTATTATTACTTTCAATGAAAATTTACAGAGACTTCGGATTTCCATTCATTCATTGTTGCATTTTTCTCCCCTCTCAATCCTCCCCCTTAGTACACTACCCTCTTGGAAAAGTAAAAGAAAAATTCTTTGATTGTTTTACAAACCTTCCCCCAGGTCCACTCCACTGTGCAGCCTTTGCTCTGGACTCCGATCGGGACAAAAATACCTTATCACATATCCCTTTTAAACAGTTTTCTCCCTCATCTGCTTCAATGCAGTATACATTATTGAACCCATCCTTCTCAGTCTCCTCCCAACCCCAAGGTCAGTCCTGTTGTACAACAGTGGCACCATGCAGTATTTGCCCTTTTGTGACTGAGATACTTCGCTCAGCATAATGTCCTCCAGGGTCACCCATTTTGAATAATATGCATGAGTTCCTTGTTTTTCAATGCAGCGTAGTATTCCATTGTGTGAATATACCACAGCTTCTCTATCCATTCGTTTGTTGATGGGCACTTAGGTTGTTTCCAACTCCTTGCTATTGTGAACAAAGTCATGATAAACATGGGTGTGCATATATCTGCTTGGATGTCAGTTATGGTCTCTATGGGGTATATTCCGAGTAGTGGAATTGCTGGGTCGAATGGTGTCTCTATTTGCAACTTTTTGAGAAAGCGCCATACCACCTTCCACAGTGGTTGCACCATTTTACACTCCCACTAACAGTGAATAAGGGTTCCAGTCTCTCCACAACCTCGCCAACATTTATTGTTTGCTGTTCTGTTAAATTTTTACCATTCTGGGGTGAAATGATATCTCATAGTTGTTTTGATTTGCATCTCTCTTAGAGCTAGGGATTTTGAACATTTCTTCATGTACTTGTTAGCCATCTGAATGTTTTCTTTGGTGAAGTATCTGTTCATATCCTGTGGGATCTTCTAAGAATCAAATCCCTATGCACATCCAAAAACTTCCCCAACAGGATAAAAAGGCAAGCCACAGACGGGGAAAAAGTATTTGGTAATGACATATCAGATAAGGTACTCATATCCAGAAATTATAGAATCTTTGTTTTTTATGTATTATCTCCCTCTAGTGGTGAGACTCATAATTGGAGGAGGAAACACATTTTTCAGAATAAAACTATTGAGGACAGGGCCTTGAAAATTGGGACACTCACCAGTTGCCTTTCTTTATCCTGTATGATCTGCAGCAACTTTTTCTTTTTTTTTTTAGCAATTGTTTATTGATGAGCTTGTTTGTTATACTTGTCCCAGTGCTCATGTTTAATTTGGCTGATATTTAATCATTCTATTCTTTGCTAAAAGCTTCTGGTGCTAGTCATTGCTAAAACAAGAAATAATTGTCTTCAGTGAAGCTTTGGTTATTTGAAGCATGTTGTCCATTCTAGCAGTTGGAAGTATTAGGAGATACACTATACTTGTAGTTCTCTCCCTTGTTTTTAGGAAGAGGTACGTCCACAGGACACTGTATCTGTAATTGGTGGTGTGGCTGGAGGCAGCAAGCATGGAAGGAAAGCTGCTTGGAAGTTTATAAAGGACAACTGGGAAGAGCTTTATAATCGCTACCAAGGAGGATTTTTAATATCCAGACTAATAAAGGTAGTAAAAGTTCTTAAGAGTCAGTTTATTTATAGTTGTTAATGAATGACATTCATGATTCACTAGAACCGGATACTATGGTCTTTGTTCTTCTGAGCTTCCCTATATAGTTACAGCTTTGTTTAAAAGGCTTTTTCAAAAAAAAAGGCTTTTTCACTCATCATCTATATCTTCTATTAAAAACTATAAAGTTGGGAGAGGATGAATTTTGTTGTGAGCCCTTTTTAATTGTACTTAACTATTGTAAATTGTGGATGGAAGGTGGCAGTCAACTCCTATGCAGTTTACTGCCTCTGAAAACCTGTTGGAAGGTCAGCTGTGAGTCACTTCAGACTCAAAGGCACTTAGGGACAACATCATTATAAATTGTACACTGTTGTTTTTTTCAGCTCTCTGTTGAGGGATTTGCAGTTGACAAAATGGCTTCAGAGGTTAAGGTAAGGAAAATAACTATTTAATTTTCTATATAGTAAGCCAAAATATTAACCAAATTGTTGTCATCATGGAGTTTTGAGATAAGGTTTCACTTTAGCATTATCCCCTTGTTCTTTTTTTTTTAATTTATTTTTCATTTCAATGAACATCTACAGAGATTTTGGAATTCCATTCATTCATTGTTGCACCCCTCTCCCTGCCCCCCCTCCCCCACCCCAATTATTAATTTTTTTGTGTGTGTACCATTGAATCGGGTCTGACTGGTACAGGAGGAGATTGCCCCACCTTCTCCAGCAGAGCATCTGGTGGATTTGAACTGCAGGCCTCTGGGATTGCAGTGCAGCTTCTTGCCACTAGGCCACCAGAGCTCCCTTGTTCTTTCTTGTAGAAAGATAAATGATCATTTTATTGTCTGAAGAGTTTAGAGTTGTGATCATCTTTGGGGACTTTGAATATGGTTGAAGTAATGAGAATTATTTGACCTGGACTCACTGTCTCTTTACTAACTATATTATTTAGAGCAAGTTTTTCAAATTCTTCTGAGTCTGTTTCCTGATCCATAAAATGGGAAAATGGTAAAATTATCATTAAGTAACATAATGTGACTGAATTAGAGATCCTTGATATTTAATTCCTTTTCTGTTTTGACTGACTTTCATAGGTCAGTTGTTTGCACAGTGAGACTAGATGATTAGTCCTTATGAAGATTGATAATTTATTATGACTTGGAACTGGTAGGTTCAATATTTGGGGGACAAACATACACTAGCTAGGAAAATCTGAACTTTTAGGTTTCAGTTGCATTTAATTACTACTTTTAAAATGTCTCCACCATGATCTTCTTTGAAGGTAAAGAATGATGTAAGGTGTGAATTTAGAAATTTTGAAATTTATATCTACCCACATTCACAAATATATATTTTTGTTGTTGTCCTATGAGCCACTAATAAAAAAAGGCGTAATCGCTATTTTAATTTTGTTTACATTCAATTTTATGAATAATTATTTTATACTAAGGCCAGAGAACTAGGTAGGGACCAAATTGTACAGGGCTTTATAGAGTATGAGGGTCTTAAGTATGGAAAGCTTTCTAAAGAGGTCTATAAGCTAGGGGACAACATGATCTGCTGTGTGTTATAAACATTTCATTCTAACTCTCCAAACAATAATGGTCTTATAGTAGTTTGGATAGGGTAGTAGAGGAGATGAATAATAAAAGAGATCCAGTGGTTTGATTTTGTTTGTCTTTTAAGCCAGTATTTACTGAGCAACTTCTATAAGTTGTAAACCAATCTATGATGGTACCATTTGTAACTCGAGGAAGACTTGCATGTAACTCCGGCCCTAAGAATCCACCATGATTAGGAGCAGCTATGTCAATAGGCCATTTGGTTTAAAAGATCTAGATGTCATCCAGTGGATTCTCATTTTTATTCCTGTGATGGTTAGTTTAATGGAAATCCTCCATCCTTTTGCTGGTTGATACTTATAAGCTACTTTGTTTTCTGTAATCTTTCATTAAAAAATAAAATTTACTTTTAATGAATAAATATTATAATAAACTCAAAGTGTCTCAAAATATGAGAATATGAATTAGTCAATATTATTAAGATTATGATAGAAGTTTAAGTTTTGTGCCAGATACTATGTTAAATACTTCGTATAAGTTGTCTCTTTATTCTTCCAGAATAAATATGTTCTCATGAGTGAGAAAACAGATTTACAGCAGATAAGATACTCAAAGTCAGAGGCTATTTAGTATGTGACAAGGCCAAGCATTTTAAGTCCCAGATCTGATTATAAAGCCTAGATTAACCTTTAGGTAAAGAGCCTAAAGGAAAACAGTAGGTTGTGTTTCTTTACTAATAAATTTTATATTAAGGTTTATGCATAGAGTATTTGGCAGTATATAAACCAAGTAATGTGGACATTAGCTTAGTAGAGTGGGAAAACCGAAAGGATAAATGTAATTAGGAAAGCATGAGCGACGTGATGGAGGTACATTCTCTTGAGATCCTTGGCAGACCAGTGGGTATTTTTTTCCCCCATAACCTGTGATATTAGCTCGTTGTTATTGATATAACTATTATATTTTGGGTTGTTTTATACCAGGCTTTCTTTGAGAGTCACCCAGCTCCTTCAGCTGAGCGTACCATCCAGCAGTGTTGTGAAAATATCCTGCTGAATGCTGCTTGGCTAAAGCGAGACGCAGAAAGCATCCACCAGTACCTCCTTCAGCGGAAGGCCTCGCCACCCACAGCGTGAACCCAGCGCGCGGCCGTTGCTGCAGTTCTGCTGCTTCGCTGCAGGGATGAGGTGGAGCAACCGAACAGCTGATTCATATGCCAAGAATTTGGAGTCTTCTTTCAAACCAGTGGGGGTTGGACAATGAATGTAGTTAACTGGTTCCTGCTCACACTCCAGAATTAAATTTTATTGAAAAAAGGAAAATCAGCAATTCAGCAAAAAAGTAAAATAAAAATGTAAATAGGATAGTAATAAAATAGAGCATAACAAAACTGTGAAATTTCCTGAAGCCTTGTCAGTGGTTAAAAGTATTTAACACTCTCCTGTAAATGACAGATGTTCTGTTTTTATAACCTACCAAAAGGAAACTAGAGGCTTCTGGGTCAAGAAGATTTTGTGAAATGGGGTCTGTAAGCAGCCTATAAGCCAAGGATAGTCCCCATTGCTGGGAACGGTTAAATATGAAAGGCTGATAGCTTGTATAACATAGTTGGAGTCTGTGCATAATTCCAAGTGAGGCTTTTTGGTTTGGTTTTTGGTTTGGATTTGTTTGTTTTGGGTTGGTTTTTCTGTTGTTGTTGTTTTGGTTTTGTTTTTGGGGTTTTTTTTTTTGTTTGGTTGTTTTTTTTTTGTTTTTGTTTTTGTTTTTGGCATGGGGACTGATCAGGAAGATTTCTTTTCCTGTATAATTCAATCTGAACCAAGGATTGTAGTTTTCCTCCTTGCCTTCCCTTCTGTGTGATCCTCCCTTGGCCAAAAAAAGAAAATAATAATAATAATTAAAAAACCCACCACAACCCTATTCTGTTCTGGGTTTTTTCCTTCCCTTAGTTCCACCCCCACCTCCCTACCCTTACCCCAGGTGTCCTTCTTAGAGATAAAGAAATAATAAGGAAACATCCTTCATAGCCACATTAAATAAGAGAAACTGATTTACATTATTTTTCTTTGTTTCTTAAGATGACTTTTAAGAACCTTGGAATGCATGTAGATGAGATAATTAAAATTTTTAAAAGATTTTCAGGCAGGCCTTTCTGAGGAAGTTGTCTACTGAAAATGGTCTTTGTTGTCTTACTATTGAACCTCTTCATAACAGTATCAGCACTGGCTTCTCCTAGTTCATGTTGTGCATGTGAGAAGTCAGTGGTAACTGCTCTAGGGCCTACACATTAGTGTAACTGGTATTAAGAAAACCAACACAAAGATTATCAGCCTGTGTGTGCCACCCTGCTTCAACAGTGAGTCTTACTAACAAGCCCCACCTGTCCAATACAATGAGTTTTAATTCTAAATTTTATTCATTTCTTCTTTCCCTACCTTTTTCCTTTTCCTTTTTTCCCCCCCGTTGTTTGTGGTATTAACAGGAATTCATATTTGGTGTGGCTTAACTGTATTTCAGAAGGTCATCAGATTGTGAGATTGCTTCCTTGAAACATTTTTGTGCTATTGTTTTAAAAAATAATAATTAAAAAAAAGTTGGCGTTAATAAAAATGTCAATGTGTAATTGATGTTCTGATTTCTTGTCTTATCCTTGATAAAAAAACTAATAACTTGTTTACCATCCAATAAGATACAGTCATTCCTACCATAAAATGTCTAAAGAATCCTTCAGAATTGGTTTGGATTCTCAAACTCAGTATTAGAATCAGCTTCCAGAGGTCAGTTGAGGGGAGCTCTGGTGGCCTAGTGGCAAGAAACTGCACTGCAATCCCAGAGGTACACGGTTCGAATCCCCCAGATGCTCTGCTGAAGGAGGGGCAATCTCCTCCTGTACCAGTCATATCTGATTTGATGGTACATACATAAACAATTTTTAAAAGTTCAGTTGAAACCTAAGAGATCTCATTTCTTGAAGAGCTCATGTACCAAGGGCCATGTTCAGTGCTGTCCAGCAGCCGGTCGAGCATGTGTTTAAGGCATCAACAAACCAGGAGGCACCAACAAGACTGAGGAAAGATGACCTTTAACTGAAGAACTCACATAACCTTGCAATCAGAAATTCTAGAAATAATTTCTTTTCATTTTAGCATACTGATACATTTTGTATAGTAGGTTGAATTATACTAGGAGTGTTATACTAGATAATCTTTTCATTTTACTCTCAAAACCATTCTCCCTTCTGTGCTGGCCACAGGAGGTATTGACCCTTATAGGATGCATTAACCACCTGCCTTGCTCTCTGTCGGCGGTAGCACTCACAGAACAATCAGAAAGCACAGAAAAGGATGATCAGGGTTTTCGTTACACTGGCTCCTGTCAAGCTGCTTTCTCTGGCTTCTGATTCCTTCATTTTCTTTCTTCAAATCTAGGATGGTAGGGACAACACTTACTGACACTGAATTAGAACTTTTTCGTTTCCCTCTACTTGTGAACATCTAGAAATAGTCCCTTTATTAAACATCCTTTATTATCCAGTTTGTATTACCTGTTTTCTACAGGTATCTTGGCTGACTTGGATACCATAATCCTGATGCATTTGAGTGTCTCACAGTCTTAATCCAGCCTTTTTTGTGTGAGATGTTTGAATAAAATTGTTCAATTGTCTTCCAAATAGTTCTCTACTACAGGGAATATAAGGAGCTCTAAGGACTTAGTACAGAAGGATTGGCAGTCTCCTCCCATGTGATTAACTGCCTCTGGAAACCAGCCCAGAGGGTCAACTATGGGTTGGTTCCAACTTTAGGGTACACAACAACAGTGGCTTAGTAGGGAACTCTGGTGGCTGAGTGACAAAAAGCTGTGCTGCAATCCTGTAGACACGTGGTTCAAGTCCACCAGCTGCTCCACAGGAGAAGGATGGGCAGTCTCCTCCCATGCAGTTAACTGCCTCTGAAAACCCATTGGAGGGTCAACTATGGGTCTATTCCAACTTGATGGTATATAACAACAAAAAGTGGCTTAAATGGTAAGGAGCTGTGCTGTCCACTCAAAGGAGAGTAGTTCACTAACCACTCTATGGGGGAACGACGGGCAAGGCACTCTTCCTCCTGTGTGATTTACTGCCTCTGAAAACCTGCTGGAGGGTCAGCTATGGGTGGGTTCCAATGCAGATGTACATAACAACAGGTGAGGAACTTAAGATTCAGAAAACTAGGTAAAACAAAGATAATTAATTAATCCTTTCCCTCCTTTTTTAACATTTTGGTTAAAAGTTTTCAGGGAAATCAGACGACTGAATGTGTTAATGTTTTTTTCAGAGAGTCATGGACTAGTAGGAAAGAGGAAAGCCTTTTGGAACAGTGGGTAGTAATGAGTGAATTCTTAACTTGCAATTTCTGAAAGTGGGTTTTGGGAAGCAAAGCACTTCTTTTTTTATATAAAAATTCATTTTATTTCATTTGTGTGTGTGTGTGTGTGTGTGTGTGTGTGTGTGTGTGCCGTCAGATCAGATCTGACTGGTAGAGGAGGAGATTGTTCCTCCTTCTCCAGCAAAGCATCTGGTGGATTTGAACTGGGCATTTATGATATTGCAGTTGCAGCTTCTTGCCACTAGGCTACCAGAGCTCACCACCAAAGCACTTCTTAAAATTATTTTTATAGCATATATTATGCACTTTTAGAGGGGAAATTTCAATAGCTTTAAACAGATTTTTAGAATTTTCCAAAAATAATCCAAAAAGGTTCTAAAATGTTATCAGAAAGACCATGAGTCCTATTTGTACAGTTATTTGGGTCTTTTGTTTGTTTTTAAAGAAGTCCAAAAATGTAAGGGGAGGAAGAAAGCTTTTGGTAATTTATAGTATTGAAGCTACACTTAAACTTTATAGAAAATATATTTTCTGATGAGAATCAGATTTCCCCTTCCAGATAATCATTTTAGGATCTTTGATTTTGTTTATATAGAAGACTTCTTTATACTAACTGGTGCCAGGCAAAATAGGCTAAGCCTTTTGTTTCAGCAAGCCAAAGATGATGGCAAATGTAAAAATTAGAGACAGGGGGCTCTCATGTTTAACCAATTATTGGGCCAATTAACTACCTTTCCTACAAACTAAATCAGAGTTGGTTTTCAGTAAGAGTCAGCGAGAGAGAGAGATCTGACTTGTTACGGTTGTGAAGATTGTTTTTATGAGTCTAGTAGCTGGCAACTGTGGTGTTTCACTGTATTACAGCAGTAGGGTACAATAGTGCTGTAATCTACTGTTTGCCAGCAACTGACAACAGGCTTACTATATACCAATTAAGATGATAACCAAGAAGAAAAGTAAATTTTGCCATGGTTTGGTTGAGCTTAAGGATGTGAATTTCTAAGACCTTCCTACAACCAGCCTTAACCTTCTTGACACCAGCAGTCAGGAAATCAAAAGATTAATTGCATTAGGGAAATCTGTTGTCAGGGACCTTGCCAGACTGCTGAAAAGCAGCGACGTGGGTCTACAGACTGAGGTGCACCTGATCCAGGCCATGGTCTTTACAGTTACAAGCTGTGCATTAGAGAGCTGGGCAATGACTAAGGATGACAGAATCAGCATTGATGCCTTTTGAGTTGTGGTGCTGGAGAGGAATATTGAACACATCATGGACTTCGAAGAGAACAAACAAGTCTGTCCTGGGGAGGATGAAACCAAGCTGCTTCTTGGAGGCAAGTATTTTGAAACTCCATCTCACATACATTGGGTATCTTGCCAGGAGAGACCAGTCTTCGGAGAAGAACATCAGGCTTGGAAGGATAAAGGGACAGTGCAAGAGAAGACCCTAGATGAGATGGACTGACACAGTAACTCAGGTAATGGGGGTCGATGTTTCTGAGGCAGTGAAAGTGAGCAGGGTTCAGAGCTATTGTGCATATGCTTGCTAGCTTGCTATGATTTGAAGCTGACCGCACACAGTAAGTTTGACAAATTATGCAGGTGCTTCACAAGTCTAGCTTTATTATTTTATGTGGAGTCAGCCTCCAGTTTTCACACAGGAAATTGCCCATCTTTTTCCTGATGAACAGCTGGGGGATTCAAATCATTGAACAACTCCACCAGAGCTCAGTCTATTTTATTAGCAGACTGATTATCTACCTTGTGTTATTTAGCAAATTCTTTGGAATACTCTCCTTAACACTAATTAGATTGTCCTTCTACTAAAGAATTTAAGGGAGGAAAGAAAATGTGTTTACTCAATGGCTTTAATAGGTAAATGGTAGAAATCTCAAGACAACAAAACATAATGGGAAAAGGGTTGGAGAGAGATGATTTGTAAGAAAAGATACAAAGCACTTAAAATAG